ATGTTAGGATGATGTGGGGAACGTATTTCGGTTTCGAAGAGAAAATTTCTCTCAAGTTAGCGGCGATGGTTCGAAGAACGGTCGATGACATCTTAGAGACGTGCAAGTGTCCACCGGGATATTGAAATATAGTATTTAAATTTCTATCGAAATCATCAATGTAACGCTGATTTTATTTTATAAATGTTGATTTTATCATTGCAGTGTTGATTTTCTGGTTTAATGATTCTAGGTTTCTTCCGTATATACTCATACAGAAATATTATGTATATGCATATACGAAATTAATTAAGAAAAGTTGGAAAAATATATGCGTCCGGAGATACATCTGCGGAAGCAGGGGGCATTTTTGTCAGTGCACATGGTGCCTAAGAAGTCCAAGGGGTGCATAAACGACTACTCGTCAGCCAACAATATTCTCAAGATAAACTCGTGTGAGCGTGGTATCGCTTAACAACTAATTCAAGTATACACCTGAATAGCCACCGCACCACGTCCTAATAAGGCCAAGATGGGTTAAAGGGTTCTAAGGTCCTCAGCTCCTCTGGCTCCCAGGTAGGAAAAAGTAATGCCAAATACGACTACTCGTACGGCATCAGTAATCCCAAAAGGGCCTCCATTCAGGATGAAGATGATGAGAACCAAATCAGTGTATATTTTCACTTTTCTTGTTATTTTAGGTAGAATGAGCTACCTCTATATATATGCAAAGCTATAACCAAATAACCAACATAACATTCACCTTGAATGGTAAACATAACAGAAAATTAATGAGAAACGAGCGAACGGTCGACCTAAAACAAAAGGGGAGGGGTCGACCCGAGCTCTCCCGAATTCAGGATTATGCAAAAAAAAGCGCTCTTTCTGTCGACTGGAATAGGTCCATGCGTCGATGCAAAGCACCCCAGTTTTGAAAAATATAAATGCACACAATATGAGTCGACCAAAGGGTTGACGCAAGCTCTCCTGAGAGCAAAACATGAAAATTAACTTCTGCATGAGTTGACCTAAGCAAGCTTTGAGTCGACTCAAAGACTCAGAACTTGCAAAAATGAAGATTTTGATATGTTTAGCTACTTCTAAGTGTTCCTAATGCATCTCTAACTCAACCAAGATGATTAAACTCATATAAAACACATATAGTGTTTTTCCTATATGAACCAAGACACATTTTGACAAATGTTTGACACTAGAAAAATAACTGATGCATATGCGACTCGATGATACCGTCCAAAGTACACTTTTCTAACTATATATGTTTTGACATCATTAAAAAAAGTATAACCAAGTACGAGACACTTTTTCCCTCACAAACAATATTCTCAAGAGAAACTCGTGTAGTGTGGTATCGCGTAATAACTAATTCAAGTATACACCTGAATAGCCACCGCACCACGTCCTAATAACGCCAAGATGAGTCAAAGGATTCTAAGGTCCTCATCTCCTCGGGCTCCTAGGTACAAAAAAGTAATATCAAATATGACTACTCGTATGGCATCAGTAATTCCAAAGGGGTATCCACTGAGCGGGATCTCAGTCAACTTAGTAAGGACTACTCCACGTAAGCTGAACAAGGTTATACCACCCTTCTATCATAAATTCTCTCAAGTTCGAGTTAGGACTTATCTCACCACTCAGAGATTACCAAGCACCCAAAAAGAATAAACAATAACCAACAAATCAAACAAATAAGCGTAAGTAAATCAAAGTAGGCTGATCCTACTAAGAGCCAGAGTCCCTAGTAGAGTCGCTACTTTTCTGTAGCGGGAAAATTTAAGATTAAGTTATTGATTAACTTAACTCACAAAACAAGAGTCACCACTACACTTTTATTTTTATCCAAAGAAAGGAAAAAAAGAGCGAACAAAACCTAAGAAATTCTAAAACAAGAACAAATAAACAGAGATAGGGTAAAGGGTTATTTACCCAAAGGGAAGGTGTTAGCACCCAAAACGTCTATAGTACTCTATAGCAACCTCTTTGAAAAATCCACGCTTTTTGGTTTGAAATGTTTGCTTGAAATGAGATTGGGGAAATGAGAGAAGAAATTATATTTTAAGATTTTTGTGTTTGGAGAGACTTCTTGAGCCTCATGCCTACGTACCCACAAAGTGAAATATATAACTAAAACCTCGTAGTTCATGGTACAAACAACAAAATTGGTTTGTTTGGTTCATTTTAAGTAAAAAGACAAGTCATCAGTTTAATGAGAAAACTACATCTAGTCACCCACGAGTATAAGAGAACAACATTTGCATCACCTTGAGATGGAGGATTTTTGCTTGGATAAAATCCAACAAGTCTATCACTCAACATCTAAGTGGAAAATGTCAACATCTTTAATACTACGGGGAATAGGAGAATTACATCTCAACTATGAAAATGAGTCATGTCTAAACTTTATGAAAAGTTTTAAGAGAAAAAGTGCACAAAGGCACAAAATGATTGAATGAGTTTTTGTATTTTTTAAAGTCTTTTGAAATTAGTCAAAGTATGCTTAATATTGATTAGAATTTAATAAAGAAAAAGAGTTTAAAAATCACTTGACAAATGTCAAGGTTTATTGTGAAAGAGGTTATAGTTTGAAAACAAGAAGGTTTTGAAAAAGGGAGAAGATTTTGAAAATTGAAGAAGTGGATGAGATGAAGTGATTATCCTATTGTATAAAATAAAAGCCAAGGACAAAGAAAGATATAACCAAAAGAAGCTAGCAATCCCCATGACATAAGCCAATCAAGAATTCCCTTCTTTAGATTTAAGCATCAAACAAGCCAGGTAAGCATTGAGATTCTGAAGACTTAGGTTTTGAAGATACAAGTATTGATCACTCTATAACATGCTTCACAAAATACACATCTGAAGCCTCTGAAGATTTAGAAGATAGAACATCAATAATGGTTAGATAAAGCGTTGAATATAAAAGTACAAAATAGTCTGTAACCTCTACCTAGATTAGGTGGCTCAAGGACAATTTTTTATATTATGATGTGATAATTCCTTCAGTGAGTGTTGGGATATTACAGTTGGAATTTGTTTCAATTTATACCCTCCAACGAATCTATTGTGAAGTTCTATATAATTAAAGATCTGAATGCTTGAAGAGAAGCTGGCGAGTGCAGACATGCTGTTGTGTGCTGAGCGCAAAGATTAAATGTTGAAGTGTTAAATGCTGTAGTGCCAAGAATCAAAAGAGTCAAAGAGATAATCATGAGAGAGTAACTAAAACAAGAACACAAAGAGCTAAAGAAAATACATGAGTATGTGTGCAAAGAAGGAGCAAACACCAATTTGTAAAGCTCAAAAGAAGATGCTTGAAGCTCAACCAAATTAGAGCGCAGTTCTACAAGAAAAATGAGAGAAGCCTTAAAAGAAACTTTTATGCTCATAAAACTCATGTTGATATGATAAAAATCTCTAGGAGATTATTCTTAAGATAATTTTGTAAAATAGCAATGAGATGTTGCTCATATCTTGCTAGAAAACGCTTTTGTGTTATTGCACTTCAATTGTGTCATCTGCTTGTTTAAAAACAATTTTATGAACACACCTTGTAACACGTTTCAAAGTGTAGATTCTTGAAGTGACTAAGTCGTTAGTCTAGATACTTGAGAGGGCTAAGTTGTTTTGTAACATTTAGAGGTTGTAGTATGTTGAGATTATTAGATTAAGTCCTTGTCTAAGGCGAAATCACCTTGGTGGGTGGATTGAAGTAACTTTGTTAACAGTAAACCAGGATAAAAATAATTGTGCATATTTATTTTTATTCTCTTGTTAGCATTGATATTTAAATTCCATAGAAAATATATAGTTGGTGAAACACAATTCAAACCCTCATTTCTTATATTTCTCACCCTTCACCGAAGTGATACAATTGCCTAACAAATCTTCATACAAGAAGACACCCATATTATGGGTCAAATTAACAGTCATGAATTTTTTCTATTGATGAAACACCCTGTACAACACCTCCAACAGTATGTGCTTCATGAATTTGAGCCGTAGAAGTAGTAAATAGTCCAAATTTGTTAATCTCCATGTAAGGAAATAAATCTTTACATATAAGTTCATTACAAGAAGCAAGAGATACATAATATAATTGGGTGAAAAAACTATCAAATATTCTTGCTTTTTCTGAAAAATCATGTTTATCATAATCTTTATCATTGCATGAAAAAGAAAGCCATCTGGGTTTGAAAATGGATGATTGTGTAGTCAAGGCTGGTCGTAGAATTAAAATTGTGTAGGTGGTCCTATTCGAGATAATCTTAGTAACTAGAATAATAATGAGAATGCTGGTCTTTTTGGAGGAGATGAACACTGTGATGACAAAATGCTAGATAGCAAGACAAGATGCCATGTAGGATGTCACACATTCAAAAATATACATCGTTAGAAAAAATTACTCGAAAAGGACTTATATAACAATGTTTGAATAAATAAGGGATCAAATTGACCGTTTTAAAATATAAGAGATCAAAATGGACCCAGAGATATACTTAAGGGACGAAAAAAGATATATATTTTTTTATTCATTGCAAAATATGTTTTATCTCAAAATAAAAGGTATCTTTAGTTTTGATTTTTATAAAATAATTCATTTGTACGAATAACAATAATATAAGTTTTTTCATTTTTTCTAGTTTATTAGGTTTCAGAAATACATTTTAGAATTTAAAATAATTTTTTTATAGAATAGAGATGTGACTAAAAAACAAATAAATTATGTATGTATAAACTTTGTTTGGAGATGTATTTCCTAATTTATAAAGTATTTTTGATTTTTTTATGAAGGTGGTGAAACAATTCATTGGGTGCTTTAAACAATTTTCTCTTTTTCTATTTGCCTCTATATTGAACTCTAGCCCAAAAAAAAAGCCCAATTAATAGAAACCATCCCAGGAACAAATAAATTGTCAAAACCCTAATTATACTCTCACCACGTTCTGGTTTTCAGTCGTCTAGGGTTTCTGGTTGAAGTTAGTTTAGTCTTCGACGCAACAATGGTGGCCGCAAAGAAAACCGTATTGATTCTGTGTCATTATCTAGTTACTCTTTTTCAGTTAACTGTGTAGATTTAGAATTGTGATTTTGATTGTGCTGTTTGATCTTCATCTTGCAGAAGAAGACCCATGAGTCTATCAACAACAGACTCGCTCTTGTGATGAAGAGTGGGAAGTACACATTGGGTTATAAAACTGTTCTCAAATCTCTCAGGAGCTCCAAAGGTAATTTTCATTCTCTAGAATTTTTTGGTTGCTTTTTATCGATCTGATCTAATTATTTCTTTGGTTTGCTTCTTTATCGCCATTTTATTGATGGGTTGTTTGTTGAATTTGTTTTTTTTATATATAATTTTTTTTTTTTATGAATTGATGAGAGGAAAATGTACTTTTTACTGTTTTGTTTAGATTTGAATAGAATGAAAATGAAGTTTTTAGGTTGTGAAATCTGATTGAAAAATTGATTTTAGTTTAATGTTATATCATAGTGGCTGCGGTACTGTTTTGGATTTTTTTAGGAATTAGCAATTTAGGTCTGTAGAGGTGTTGCGACACTGATTGTAGTTGTTGCGACACTGATTGTAGTTGTTGCGGTGTGAATTGTAACTACAAATTGTTGTTTAACTTGAAAACAGTGAATAACAGTATCAATATAGGCACATGCTGGTACTTTTAAAAACCTTGGATATTAATGTGTTTGATATGGGAAATATGGTTTGTTCACAATTACATTTGAAGTGTTATGTGGTGACGTAGTACTTTGTTCTGTATGGTAGAGATTGAAATTTAATTGCAGCTATTAGACTTTAAGTATTATATCATGTTTGTTTTATAAATAATGTGCATGTGGTTTTTGTTTATGTGTTGATTAATGAGTGCTTAACTAAACTCATTGATTATATCATTGTGGATGTGAGTTTTGTCTGTTGTTGACATTCTGTGATTGTTTGCAGGGAAGTTGATTATCATTGCTAACAATTGCCCACCATTGAGAAAGTCTGAAATTGAGTACTATGCTATGTTGGCGAAGGTTGGAGTTCACCACTATAATGGAAGTAAGTCCTCTAGCTTATCAATGTCACATGGGACTTGATAACTTACTGTTTAGCAATTGTTCTTTTCGCTTGTTTTGTGTTATTTACATGATCATTGTTTACATTTGAAACTAGCTTAGCTTTAGTAACTTTAACTTCAAATTGTAATACTTTTGAATTGGTTGTCCCTAAGCAGCATTGGTAATTTGGTATTGATTGATCAAATGGCCTCATGCTTATATTTCATAGTTGTTTCACTTGTGATAGCCTGGCTAGATTATTGTTTAATGGAATAGTCTTTATAGATTATAGATTACATTGTGGTTTGCATTATTGTTGTCAATTGCGGAGAGCCCAAAATAGAGGATTGTAACCTCCTATGCAGTAGTGCTGCTATAAGGTCTTTATTGCCGTGTCATTTAACAGCATGTGAACTAAATAACAGCATTAAAAACTTCTGATGGTTGATGGCTTGATGTTACTTAGTATGTTACAGTAGTTTTATTCTGATTTTACTTTGCTACATGAAAGTGAATTATGTTTCTTAGACCTGAGTTCTGATTTTGTTTACCAAAATGTTTACAAATGTTACAGATTTTAATTGATTTTTGAAGTTATTATGCATTAGAAATTTGATTTTTCTATAATGGCAATTTTTTCATGGATTTGGTTGGCATCGTTGATGTCTTTGTTGCTCTGCTGTCTTATACAAATCATAAATATAAATCACAATTATGTTCTTTTCAAATCTCTTACCAATATTTTCTTGCTTATAGACAATGTGGATCTCGGAACTGCTTGTGGAAAGTACTACAGAGTGTGCTGTCTCAGCATCGTTGATCCTGGTATCATATTATTCTTGCACAAGAATTTGATTTATGTTTTTTCAATTTCTGATTTATTATGATTTCTGTTAACAGGTGATTCTGATATCATCAAGTCTCTTCCTGGAGATCAATAGAGTTGCTGTATCACGACATTGATTTTTGTTACTTTCAAACAAACATGTTGTTTTATGTTTGCTTGTTTTATCTTATTAAGACAATGTTAGACACAAATTTATGTAGACTTCAGAAACAACTATTTGGATTTTTGAGTATTCTGATAAATTGACTGCAAATTTTTCTTATAAATGGTTTTTTGAGCAACAATATTTTCGACTGCAAAATTCACTTTTTTTAAGGAAAATAAATTTAAAATAAAATAAACTTCATAATAAGAAAACATGGACACAGTTGAACTTGAGTGAAGAATTATAGACATTGTTGAAACATTTAACTCATTAGATATTATTGGTCAGAAAATGTTGAAAATAAATGTGTATGAATTTGTATTTCTTTATACAATTTTCATGTGCCAGCCATCTCAAAAGTTAAAATCAAAGAAGAAATTTAGAAGACTAAAAATCAAACCGAGTATGATAATCCTCACGATCCTTCATATAAGAAGAATATTAATATTGCACAAGGATTTGCAAGGCATTCGTCTTAAGAATCTCCAAGACAAACATATTTGAACCAATTTTCTATGTTTTTCATGCTACGTCGGAGATATATTTGATGTTGAGACAGATATTAATTGTGGTTTTTGTGCAATTGAAGATTTACTATAAGTTGTTAAAATTTTTTAGTTATTGATTTACCTACAGTTGGAAGAGGAGGTTCACAATTAGAGATGATAATAAGTTGGACTAAGTTAAACTTTAGTTAAATAGATCATGCCTAATTAAAAATTTAAAGTCTAACTCTGTCCTACAATCTGTCAAAAAATTTATCACAAATACTATTTTTCATCTTTTGAATACTATTGTTTTTAAATTTCAAGCATGTATGTTATAATTTTCATATATCTTTTAAGATTTTACAAAAAGATAATAAAAAGATAATTATGTATACTTAGTTAAAAAGATTCACTTTTTCTTCTTTTTTTTTTTGAATAATACTGTTTTTCAAATAATCAATCATGATTGCTTTTAATTTTCATATATTTCTCACGATTTTATAAAAATTAATTATAGACCTAATTTATAAGTTAATATAATATATAAGATTACAAATAAATTGGCCGGTCAAATAGGTTTATTAGACTTTTTTATAAGTCTTAGCTCGACCTATTTAAATTAATAGGCTTTTCAAGATGCTTGAGCCTAACATTTTTATCAAACAAGGTAGTCTGAGTCGAGGTTTAAGTAGGTTGGGTCAAAAATTCTTGGCGGACGGTCTGACCTATTACCACCTTTATTCACAATAATTGTGATGTTTATTCTAAATTATTCTATGATAATGTTGAGGAAGTAAGAGTTTCATTAAAGATATCAGGTTTGGGTGTTCAAGGAAGAGATAAATGAGCAACCATTCCTGACACGAGGTACTCAATTGCATCAATGTATAAGTTTATATTAGTGTTCATGTCATGAAATTTAAACATTACTTTTTTTCCTCTGGGTATATAACCATATTTTACTTGTTCTCATCATAAGATAATTGTAGTCAATTTTGTCAACATTACTGAATATAATGTTGTATTTTATGTTACGAGAAAAGTTATCAAATCAAGTTAGTTTAATAGGTGAAACAAAACATAGTTCTTTAGTAGTTAAAAAACATAGATTCAAATCACAAAAGTTCTAGTAAAAATAAGTCTATAATGGCCAATCACGTGCAATGTTACATATATACACAGTTATCTCATGAAACTCGTCATTTAGGTTTATCCAAACCATTCAACCATCTACAACCTACGTATCATATGTAACCTTTTATCTACAATCCAAACATCATATGTAACCTCTTATAATCAGAAATACAAATACCGAAAATGGATGATGACTTAGGATGTGCTGATGGTGACTTAATACATCACACTACGGGTGGTGGTGGTGGTGTAACACATGGAGATTCAATAACATGTGAATTAAGAAGGAGCATGCGAGAATGTAATATCATGTAAATTAGTTATAGATAGTCACCATACAATAGCGGTGATACATTATTGACAATACATTCTATTTCAAGGCCTCTGCACAACTCACAATGTTGTTCACAAACTACGTGTCAAAATAATCTGGAACATGAGAGATTAGTTGCAGAATATCATGAGCATAATCAAATTAGAAGAGACATCACGCAAGAAGGTATTCCATAACGAGGATTCTCTAACATAGATTTCTAAAGAATAACGAGGTCTCATCAAATGGGCAATCAATACTTACTATGATCTTCGTACGACATCTAAGTGACTTTGTCAATTGTCAATGCATCAATCCTCTTCTTATGAATGTCAGTTCCCCCGGCCATAACATTTTTAAGTGTCCATTAGGCTACTTGAAAAAAAAAGAAGGTCATATACCGTATAACCTATCTCGTCTCATAATAACAAGACTATTACAGGTTTTGGCACAACACACTCAACACGACAAAACACCCATGCCCATCTCTAATATCCTAAATCATTGAGCAATCCAACATATTTCACATCTATCAATTGATATGACTTGTCAACAAGAAACAAGAAAGTATGAAATTCATGCCCATATTCTTAGCAATATCATTAACAACTTCTTGCATAGTTGTCTCTAAAAATTTAAGGGATGCATGCATAACAAGTTTAGGACTAATAAAGGAAGAAGTATAGAGATACACATCATCTATGTTGGCATTTATCTTCTTGAACGATGTGCAAAAAAAAAGATGGTCTCTTTGCACCATTTTTTACGATTGCAAAAATAATATCATTGTCATACATGGTGAGAGAGGACTCGACTAGAGGCACGAGACACTCAACATCGACGTGCCTGAAAATGAGTTCAACTATCTCAACCATGCAGAATTTCCTCAATTTCTATCCATGAGTGGGAAACTTTAATGGATCGCGATCCTAAATAAATGATTGATAAAACTATTTTAATAAAAACTCAATACTAAAATATTCTAATTAAAAATATACATGTCCTTCCCTATATTCTCAATGCTATGTTGTTGTCATACCATGTCAACATAGAAGTGTCAAATTGTCTTCCTAAAAAACAACACACTTTTTGATCATCATTTTCTAATATGTCAGAGTACTACTTAGGGAATCTTGGGCCTAACGAAACTATAAAAATCCTACTCATTAGAAGTGGACAACAAGTCGGGTTGGAAGTTTTTGGGTCTAAATACCACACCTAACTCAAACCGTAGCTGATTTGACATGGTTCATTTTCGCCCACATTTTATCACAATTTATGCAGGTTGGGTTAAAATGGGTGATGGATAAAATTAGACTACTTTTGAGGTTATAGGGCTGAATAAATTTTCTGGCTCATTCACAATTCTGACATTATTGAATAAGAATGATTATTATTATTTATTTATGTTACAAAATTTTACATTTAAATGAGGACCAAAATTATTATTGTTATTTATTTATTACAAAATTTTGAACATTAAAACTATTGACTATGTTATTGGTTTATTCAGACTTAGTCTCAAAAACATATTCAATGACTTTAATTTATAGATAACTTTGAATGAAAAATATTAAATTAAATCCAGATTAAATCATTATACACAATGTTAAATTAGAGTAAAATTAAACATGTTAATATTGTTCAATACAAATAAAATCAAATTTAATGAATGTACATTTAAAATAATGGTGAGCATTTAAATTTGGAAGAAATTTTGGATCAAAGTGGCCCTGCAACTCTCGAATTTTTGAAAAAAATTATAAATAGTTTCAATAGAATTTACCCATCGAATATACATTCCGAAGGCTCAATAGCAAGACACGAAGGAGAAAGAAACTAGCCGACGAAAGGAACTGGAGAAAAGAAGCAACAAATTTTGCACTTGCTCAAATTGAAGAGGAAGTTATAGAAACCGTTGAAGGAAGTATGGGTGACGACGCTCGTACCGAAATGTCCGCTAATAGTCCAAGGCGGACAACTCAATTTGCTCGAGGCGGAAGGAATACAGAGATGAAGACCGAAATCCTTCAACTTCTTTATGCAAATCCGTTCACCGGAATGGATCATGAAGATCCGTACAACCATCTCATCAAATTTTATGAGATCGCGGGTTCTACGGGAGTAGATGAAGCAGGTGAAGAAAACTTATTCAAGAGAATGTTTCCACACTCATTGGTGGGAAAAGCAAAAGAATGGTACCTTGATCAACCAACAAGAGTGATGACGGATTGGAATTTGTTAGAAGAAAGATTTCTAGAGAGATATTACCCTCAATCCCGATTCATGGAAGCCAAAACGACTATTTCAGTATTCACACAAGGAAGCAATGAGTCTCTAAACGAGGCTTGAGAAAGATTCAAATCAATGTTGAGGAAATGCAAAGGTCACGGTTTTGATGATCTCACACAAATTTACATTTTTCTCAACGGACTCCAAACTTCACAAAAGACACTCTAGGATGCTACCGCAGGTGGTTCCCTACAAACTAATTTATGATTTAATTAGTTTTTAATATTTTAAAAGTTAATATTTTTTCCCATAAAATATTTTACCCCTACAAATTTTAAAAGTTAATATTTTATGGTGAAAATTTTTAAAAGTATATTTTACCCCATAAAATATATTTTTAAAAGTTAATATTTTACCCCATAAAATATTGTTTAAATAATTATAAATGTTATATATTATAATTTTTTGGTGAAAATTTTTGATAGAAGAAATGATAGGATTATAATTTAAATTATGATATTTATTTTTATTTTTCATATAAACATATTATTAAATTGTTAATTTTCTTCTTTAAAGAACACAATCAATATATAAATTAGTTAACAACTTTTATTTTTATTGATTAAAAAAAACAATATCAAATTAGTGGAGTAATTATTATTAAGTAAATAAATAAGAATAAATTAATAAAAAATCAAATTAGTGGAATAATTATTATTAAATAAATAAATAGAATAAATAGAGTAAATAGAATAAATATATTAATTAACTAAAATAGAGTA